GGGGGGAGGCCCCCCCCCCCCCCCCCCCCACATGATATACATATATTAAGATTTGCATTGTTATATTTTTATGGCAATTATTAAAAGTTTAATTCTTACTGTAAAATTATATTGTGTGCTAATATTTACCAGTTTTCCATTATCAGTTTTACGAGCTCATGCAATACTTATATGTGAGCGAATGCAAAAGCATTGCAATATAATTTTTTCTTCCAATTTTACAAATTTCCATCACCATTTCCCTTAGAATTCACCGAAAGCGTTAAAAACAAAAAACAACTTTAACATGCAATTAAATGACCAGAAGAACTACATCTCTTGCATGAGATACAGCTTAGATCTTTATTGTAATATTTCGTTCAATCCGACTGAAACTACAGTCATCATTAAGACTTACGCCAGTTTTCATATTCGCGGCAGAAGAGTTTTATATGAAAAATACAGCTGTTTGAACTCAACTTTGTATACATAGAGAGAATAATACTTCATTACTGAACTACTGAAGTAAAGTAAGTTTTAGAAAAAAGCACAGAAAAACAGGTCTCAAAGTCATTTAGAGTTATTTACAGTTTTAGGGTTTGATCATTAGAAGCGTGTTGAACTTTACAATGTTTTCAACGGCTGAAGATAAAGAAGACAGTTTGTGTGATTTTACATGGTGGTTAAACTGAACCGCGATATCGGCAAAACAGTGTGACTCCCTGAAGCGTCAGTTTCAGTAAAATAGTTGTCAAGGCACATAACTCGCAACAAAATTGACATTAAATCTTTCCGGGATGAATCTCGCGACATTCTTGTCAAATTTTGCAAATTTTTCCAATTAAACGACACAAAAATGATGTCACACACAACAACGACGTCATAGAAAACCTGCTTTCTGTGACGTCACTGCATTCAACAGCTCTTCTTGCATTCACATCCCGTTTGATTTTTTACATTAAATTAGGTAAATCAGCTACAAAATCTTATGAATGGGAATGCAATTATTTACAAAGCTCGGAATGGGACGCATATCGAAACGAGCAAGCGCTTTACACAGGCACGAACCAGCCATTTAATGCAAACACTCGCACAGATGCCATTTGTACCGTCAGATCATGAACACACACAGACTGTGCAATTCAGTGCAAGGAACAGAGAACTGGGAAAGACAATGAACGAGGGAGAACGACTGAGAGAAAGTCCGGACAGACGAAAAGAACTAAACTAAAGAACTAAAGTAAAACAAACAGCACTGGTCAGTTATAATGTTTGTAAACCGGTTAGAATTCTCTCTTCTCATTGGCCAATGTGACGTTAGTTGTGAGCTGTGCGTCAATTTCTTCACATGCCACAGCTTGAATCTGAAGACTTTTTGAAAGAAATAACTATTTAAAGAAAAAGTGCACCCAAAACGACATTTCTGTCATAATTTACTCACACGTTGTTCCGAACACGTTGAACACAAAAGAAGATATTTTTGAAGAGTGCTGGTAATCAAAGAGTTGGTGTTTGCCATTGACTTCCATAGTATTTTTTTTCCAACTATGGAAGTCAATGGCAACCACCAACTGTTTTGATTACCAGCAATCTTCAAAATATCTTCTTTTGTGTTCAACATAAGAAAGCAACTGGAACGACATGAGGGTGAGTAAATGATGACAGAATTTTAATTTTTGGGTGAACTATCCCTTTAAACGCACTGTACTTCAGTCACTCACAGCTTTATTTTCATTCGTCACTACCCAGCCTAAGGTCTATTTGTCAGGTTTGACATCAGCAAGAAATATTGCAAACTGGCACATTAGATTATGCTAATGAGAAGAAACAATTTGTTGGAATATAGAACAATTAATATCGCGCACAGGTCTTAAAGACTATTTTTATTGTTCATTTTTGTCAATTTTGGTTTGTAGAAGCTATTATAGGGATTCAGAAGAGTTGTAATATAGTAAACAAGTTGTATGGACTAATTTTAGGATGCTTTGTTGGAGCCTCAGTCCTCATTCACTTCCAGTGTATAAAAAAAGAGCAGCATCAACATTCTGGTAAACATCTAATTTTCTGTTCCACAGAAGAAAGCAAGTGATCTAGAGTTTTGGAAAGACACAAGTAAGTGTTGTAAATGTTGACAATTATTGGGATAAACATCACTTTAATATGAAAGTCTGTTTCAACCATGGGATAAAAAAAAGGTAATTGCAACTTTTTAATCTTACAAATTCTGCCGTTTTTTTCCCGCACAATTCTGTTTAAATCTCACAATTCTGACTTTTTTCCTCACAATTCATATCTCACAATTCTGACTTTTTTCTTGCAATTCTTAGAAGAAAAAAAATACATATACATATATAAATATATATATATATATATATATATATATATATACACACACAATTGTGAGATTAAAAAGCCGCATTTACCCTTTTTATTCAATGGCGAGGGGGAAAAAAACAGAATTGTGAGATGTAAATTTAGAATTGAGAAAAAAGTCAGAATTAATGCAAACTCAAAATTTTTGGAAAAAAGTCAGAATTGCAATGTGTAAATGAGCAATTACGTGTTTATAATTTGGAATTTGCTCGAAAAATTTAATTGTGAGATTAAATGTTATGGTTATTGTTATGTTAGGGCAGAAACAAAAACAGAATTCTAAGACATAAACTCACAATTGCAAGAAAAAGGCAGAATCGTCAGATAAAACGTTGCAATTGCTTTTTGAATTTTTTTTTATCCCATGGCGGAAACAAGCCTCCATACTATAATTTGTCCCTAAATCACAGAGAACCGATAATTAGTGCTATAAATAGTGTTTTACAACAGAACCCTACTGTATTAACTATGCTCCATGGATTTTATGCTACACTTAATGTCCCTCACCTATCTGACCTGAACCTGTCCGTCTCTTAGATTGAACTCGATCTTCACTTCACTGTTGGGGTTGCAGAGACATTTTTAGAGGGAAAACGACAAGTTTGTATGGGAATGTTCCATTGTTACTATGATTTCATGGTAACACGAGTGCTGTTACTATGACCAGCAGTAGCATTGAAATTCAAAAAGGGTCAAATGGATAAACAAGAAAGATTGCTGAAGAAGAAACAGGATGTGATGAAGGAATACTTCCTGTGTTTGAGTGGTACTTCTGGATAGAGGAAATACAAAAAGCCAGAGACCTTCAGTCTGTGACAAAGCGCCATATACACACAAACACACAGAAAGAGCACAAATATTGTGCTTTCAGAAGTACCTTGAGTTCATGTTTGCTTAAATCCAGGTCATCATACCTCATAAGAGACATGAACGTCTGATTCATAAAATCAAGGAGCATCCCAACGACACACACATTCACATAAACCGCGTTGAAGTGTCCGTTTTGCACAGACTCCACAGCTGAAGGACGAGAGAGCTAGACAGGTAGGTGAGCGTTTCCATGATCTCTGTTGGCGGAGTGTGGGCCTTCAGAAACAGCCAATCAGCGAGGAGAGAATCCCGCCGCTACACTGCTGCCCACCACCTGCGTCATGTCCCAGATCTGCACAAAGACCAATCAGACCATCAGCACGGAGAAGACTTCACTCTTCACAATCAGAACAAATGTGAAATCATGAATAAATGAATTCCTTTTGAGTTTATTGGGTTTGAATTTGTTCTGCATCTGTTTCATGCTAAAGGTAATATGAATAGCTTACTGCATACGGCACAGTATACTCTGAGACACACTAGAAGTATTATTTGAGTATTATATTCATAATCGATTATAGTATTTAATAATAGTTTGAATGACCTATTTTATATTTGCAGTTTTCCCTTTTATTTGAGAAATTGTTTTACGTGCTTTTGTCATTTTTATTATTTATTTACTATTATTTTTAAATACTTCTAAACAGCTTTATGCAGTTTCATTTCAGTTTTAGTAATTCAGCTTGAACTTATTTCAGTTAGTTGCCATGGCAACATTAATGTTTCACTATTATGTCTTACTAGCAGTGTTATTTTAGTACTATTTATATATTATAGTATTTATTAATATATATTTTTTTATATTTTCAGTTTACAATAAAATGTTAGTCTAACTTGTAGTAATTTTGTTGTGCTTTTGTCATTTAAAAAAAAATTAAATATGTCTACATAGCTTAAATTAATCAATATTTCAATTTTACTTTTAGCAATTTCAGTACTCAAATTAAACTGAGGGTTTTTTTTCAGTTAGTTGCCATGGCAAAATTTTTAATTTTAATTTGAGCTGAATTTTGATTTGAACATTTTTACTGAAAACAATAATGATTTTTCATTATAATCACATTTGAAATATAAAGCTTGTTTTATTTATTATTATTATTTTCTTTTTTCCATTTTTAATGCAATTTTGTCACAAATTTGTTCAATCAAATAATCAAGTCAGGGAGGAGAGGAGAGATATCAAAAATCATGGCTGATATTATTTCTTTCATTGTGAAAAATGTTAATTGCAGAGAATTGTAGGATATGATGTTCCATGCAGTGTGATCTGTTCATATACTGAACAGTGTGACAAATGTAGTAAATAATCTATGCATATAACAATGCACATACTGTGTTAGTACAGAACAATTATATGATGATATGCTATTTACAGTAACTAAAATACAAGAACATAAGAGATCAAGACCTTAACAACTCGATCACTCCCACAGGTGACCATCAGTCCTCGGCTCGGGTCCATGTCCATGTGAGCAATGCTGTGCTTCCCTTCATGAAACGTAGCCAGAGGAGTCCGACTGCAACACGCAAATGCAAATACACAAGAATAAGAAAAATCATCTGATGTATTAACACAGAAACAAACGGAAGAGGCGAAATAACTCACTCTTCCTCTTTGATTGTGTCGTAGCAGTCATCACACATGCGCACCTGGAACTCAAAGCCCATGATGGGGTATGTGGAGCGTTTAGAACTACACTTCCCACAGATCGCCTTACCACACTTCCTGCAGTGATGCTGAGGACAGGAAATGACATGGGCAGCACATCATGAGATACTTCCTTAAAAGAATATTTACCCCAAAAATCTTTTGAAAATGTACTCATCCTAGATGTAGATGAGTTTGTTTCGTCATCAGATTTGGAGAAATGTAGCATTGCATCACTTGCTCAGAAATGGATGCTCTGCAGTGAATGGGTGCCGTCAGAATGAGAGTCCAAACAGCTGATAAAAACATCACAGTAATCCACAAGTAATCCACACCACTCCAGTCCATCAGTTAACTCGTTAAGCCAAAAGATGTGTGTTTGTAAGAAACAAATCCATTGTTATGACATTTTTAACTGCAAACTTAACTTCTGGCTAAAACACGAGTCCTCTATTCATAATGATGCTTTCTCCAGTGAACGAGTGACTCTCGTCTGAATCAATAGAGAAATCTGCACAGATCAAGCACTGTTTCCAAGCAAAAATAGTTCAAAACAGCCTTAAACAAATATGTTGGTGGATTTTGATGTGAGAGACAACAGGAGATGGACTTTTCACTGGAGGAAGCGTTATTACAGATTATGGACTCGTATTTTGGACAGAAGTGAAGGTTTAAAGTTATAATGTCTTAATGCATTTGTTTCCTACAAACGCTCAGTTTTTCACTTCACAAGATGTTAACTGATGGACTGGAGTGGTGTGGATTATTGTGATGTTTTTATCAGCTGTTTAGACTCTCATTCTGACGGCACCCATTCACTGCAGAGCATCCATTGCTGAGCAAGTGACGTTATGCTGCATTTCTCCAAATCTGATGAAGAAACAAACTAATCTACATCTTGGATGGCCTGATGATGGCGAGTTCATTTTTCAGCAAATTTTCATTTTTGGGTGGACTATTCCTTTAAGACAACTTAAAAGTGCAGATGCGTAACAGGCTAAAATAAAACCAAAATATCATCAAAATGTTTATGAAGACATGATGTCAAACCGATTCGAATCTTTATGTTTTTAACCGTACTGTTGCACTCAGTACCTGTCGGAGCCCCAAGGTCTTAGTGTCCCACATCTGCTTTATATTCCAAAAAAATGGCTGTCCGCATTTCTGACAGGAATCGCTGTCCAGCCACTGCGGAGCCTGAAAGAAAGAGTTACAGAGAGAGAGAGAGAGAGAGAGATAACGTACGTCTCCATGAAATTTCGAGAACGAGTAGCTTTCCTGTCACCATAGAGATGGATGTGACTTTGATGACTGACGCAGAAGTTGCCATGGCGACGACAAGAAAGTTCGTCACTGCTTCATGATTAGACAGTTTGGCCATGGACTCGTTCAATCATACGCTCTAATATTGGAGTGCGTGTGAGAGACAACTTCCTCTTTGACCAGCAAGTCTATCTGAGCTTGTACTACATTAGTATTAATAAAGAATTTATAATTATTTAGCACCTCTTCTCGTGATGTCTCCATGTTCCACACTGTTATTCCTCCATCGGAAGAGCAGGACACCAGCTGATGGGTCAACGGCAGATACCGCAGCGCCTGGACCTTCTCACTGACACAAAGAGAGAATGACTGACTGTCATATATATACACACCCTATATATGCAGAAGTTTGGGGTCGAAAGATGTTTTTAATGTTTTTGAATAAAGTCTCTTATGCTCACTAATGCTGCATTTATTGGATACAGTAAAAACAGTAATATTATTATTACAGTTTTAAATAGCTGTTTTTATTTGAATATATTGTAAAATGTAATTTATTTCTGTGATCAAAGCCGAATTTTCAGCATCATTACTCCAGTCTTCAGTGTCACATGATCTTCAGAAATCATTCTAATATGCTGATCTGCTGCTCAAGAATTATTATCAGTGTTGAAAACAGTTGTGCTGCTTCATACTTTTGTGGAGAATTTGATACATTTTATTTTTTAAGAGTTCTTTTATGAATAGAAGGTTCAAAAGAACAGCATTTATTTGAAATGGAAATCTTTTGTAACATTACAAACATCTTCACGTTTGATTAAATTAATGCATCTTGGCTGAATAAAAGTATTATTTATTAAATGACCCCAAACATTTACGTCACTCTTTAATCTCAAATAATAGAATAATTCAAACTCAAATCAATCATTCATGTTCAATTATTTCCTTATTTGGTAAACATCTATGAAATAAGGAGATAAATGTGCAGTTAAACGGTCATTATTGCAAAATGAACCCCATAAGGGTCTTGTTTTAGGTTATAATAACATTAAAAATTCAAATCCAGATTTTGATTTTCAAAGATTTATTATAAAATTTTATAATTTTTTCCCCCCAAAATGCAATAAATTCATGACAGGTTTTTTTTTTTTTCCAAAATGCAATAAATCCATTGACTCAATATAAGTTATTTTTCATATTGAAACATAGTAACATAGTAAGCTGATCCACATATGACAGCCTCTGAACTTGGTCATATACTAATCTTACATACAGGCACTGAACTAAAAATACATTCAATCAGTCATCGCTCCCAAAATGAATTCAACGGGTCATCTTGTTAATGCTATTAATTAATTACAACAATAAAATAAAATGTCATCATGAACATACAAAATAGAAATTCCAAAATGACATTTCCCTTACATTCAACTTCCAAAAGTGCATTCATCTTCGCCATGTTACATTAATTTAGTTGACTAGTGCTATACGCTGTATTAATAAAAAAAACATTAATGGCATTAATAAAAACACTTACACTGACAAGAGTGCGTGGAATGGTGCGCTGTGATTGGTTTTACTGTCTAGGAGTGCGTGGAATGGTGCGCTGTGATTGGTTGTTACTGTTTACAGTGCGTGGAATGGTGCGCTGTGATTGGTTGAGTGGATATATTGCATTCTGCAGAGAAGGGAGACTGGCGTTCGTCGCAGTTTGGAAAGAAAGGGAGAAAACATGACAGAATAACTCGGCGGATATCGCATTTTGCGTAAAATTAAAAATGGACTTTTCAGTACCGACCAGATACAATACTGATTTTGGCGTTTTGGAACCAAACTCTTCATATATTCATGATTTAACTGTAATACTATAAAATATTATAAGTATTTATTTATTATTTTTTAATATTTTACAAAATAATAACAAAAGATTATGGCAAAATACTAAAACAATTTCAGCTTTCCAATCAGGCTTTATATACATAGAGTAACGTGAATAGTATGATAGCACATAAATAGTAAACGTGTATGCTGTCTTACCTTCATGTCCCTTTAGTGTAGTAATGACAGAACACGTCTGTTCGTCCAGCTTCAGCAGAGTGATCTGACCTGAACTATCTCCCACAAAGGCATGCTGGGTATCCTTATCATATCTATGTGTAGTCAAGAAATAATAACAAAAACCTTTTGACAGTTTATAACATGGAAACATTTGCCAGTTCATTAAAATGCATAATGAATCTGCTATTTCATGAGATTTGACAAGATTATTGGTATCAAATGTTTAAAAGACTATTCATATTCATGAGCTGAACTGTACATTCGACTTAATTTTCAGTTACACTACCTGCACAAAGCAACAGAAGCATAAATAAAATGTAAAAATGCTTTCAAATAATTCTCAAGAGAGAGACTGAAGTGAAGGATACTGTAAACAGGAAGCCCATGAGCCGAAGCTGTGGCGTCCCAGCATAGAGCCGCTGTGAGTGCTCATCCAGCTGATGCTTTTATCATGACCTGTACTGATCACCCACTGACTCTCCAGAGAGAAGATGAGGTCCGACACACGGTTCTGATGAGCTGCAAACACACACACACACACACACACACACACACACACGCTGAAGATCAATGTTCAAAAGTAAAAAAAAAAAAGTATATACTGCATACTAGGTTTTCTTTTTAATAGTATGTGAAACTATCATGCAATATGCATGATAAACAGTAGCGCGCTACATTTTCACATGACCTCATTTGCACCAGGGTTACCGTCGTCAATTAAAACCATTTAAAAACATTTTTGTTAATTGAATTGAAGCTGATATAAAATAAGTCATAATATTTTGAAAAAAAAAAAAAAAAAAAACTAAAACTAAACAGAGATTTGAAATGTAGCCTTGGCAACTAACTGAAATTAATTTAAAGCACTAAAATTACTGAAATTAAAATTAAACTGAACTAAAACTAACACCTTTAAAAATCCTACAATGTGATTTTCTGGATTTTTTTTCTCATTTTGTCTCTCATAGTTGAGGTATACCTATGATGAAAATTACAGGCCTCTCTCATCTTTTTAAGTGGGAGAACTTGCACAATTGGTGGCTGACTAAATACTTTTTTCCCCCACTGTAAATAAATCAAAACTAAAAAGCAATATAAAAAATGATAACATTTACAATAAGGTCCCATTAGTTAACAATTAGAGAATGAACTAACATTAACTAGCAATGACTAAATACATCAGTTACAGTATTTATTAATTCTCATTAATATTAGTTAATAAAAAAAATACAACCGTTCATGTTAGATCAGGTCCAATAAATAATTGTTTGATTTTAATAATGTATTAGTAAATATTAAAATTAATATTAACTAAGATTAATTATTTTTTATAAGTTAGTTCATGCTAACTAATGTATACTTATTCCAAAGTGTTACTAAAAAACAGAACAAAACAAAACAAAAATGGCCAAAAACTGAACACAAATTTAAAAGAATCCTAAAAATAAAAGCTAATTGGAAATATGAATAAAAGTATTAAAATAGCAATGATTTGCATGCATGCTTAATCGTAAAAAATTAATGCAGCATTTTAATTAATTCTCAAATGTCTAAACCTTCAGCAGTCCAAGTATGTATTTCTTTTTTATTCTTCCTTCTGATTTGCTACACTGGAAACAGAAGACGCAGGCGAGCACACTGCATTGTGGGATACAGTATTACACGAGCGCGCTCTGTTGTTCTGCACATTATGCGGATCATTCAGATCCAGCACACAAACACACACTTTTGTGACCTGCTTCATGTCCTCAGACAGAGAGTTTTCCGCGTTGAGATGTTTGTGAGATGGTGTCATTATCTGATGATGTCATGGTGTGTGTGTGGAACTAACAATATTACTGCATTATAGCAGAAAGAAACAATACCACATGCAATTCAAAAGGCAAACTATTTCATACACGTTACAGTTATTGGTCGGAATATGGTCTCTCTCACACACACTTTCCTGGCATTGTAGTTTTCTCTAGACATATTTTCCAGAGCCGCTCTGACTCATCCACTCGTAATCATCTTGTGTGTGAGTGTGTGTCCAGTGAGAGCTCACATGGGACTCTGAGCCCCAGGGCATGCTGGGAAAGAACAAATGATCCTCAAGTGATCGGGTGGGGCCAAAGTAAGTAGAGTGTGTGTCTGTGTGTGTGTTTCTCTCTCAAGGAAACACACACACACACACACACACACACACACACACACACCCAGGGGACAAAGAGCACATGTTTCTTACAAACACACTTCAGCTCTGCTGGAAGGGAAATCCAACCCTTCGTCTAAAGTGTGTTAGTACACTAATGGAAATGACGCAAATGATCCTCAAGTGATCGGGTGGGGCCAAAGTAAGTAGAGTGTGTGTCTGTGTGTGTGTTTCTCTCTCAAGGAAACACACACACACACACACACACACACACACCCAGGGGACAAAGAGCACATGTGTCTTACAAACACACTTCAGCTCTGCTGGAAGGGAAATCCAACCCTTCGTCTAAAGTGTGTTAGTACACTAATGGAAATGACGCCACAAGCCTCTGGTTTTACCTGGGTATGTTTTGACATGGTTCATTTTGTTGAAGTCTTCTGAGATGAGGAACTCCTGAAAGAACATTACAGAAAAATGACACAATGGCTCAGTTTATCCACTTACGCACCCTCATGTGGTCACAAACTCAGATGACTTTCAACCTTTTGCGAAACACAAAATGAGACAGTGTTCACAGTGCTATTTTTTATACACTGATCAGGCATTCAAGACACAAAAAGGACAAAAAAAGTACTAGTATTTATGCACCATATTACACCCTCTATTGATCCTACTGTAAATAAAATACTGTTTAAAGGTTTAGGGTCGGCATGATTTAAAAAAAATAAATGTATACTTTTTTCATCAAGGATGCATTAAATTAATCAAAAGTGAGAGTAAAGACATTTATAATGTGACAAAAGATTTCTATTTCAAATAAATGCTGTTCTTTTGAACTTTCTATTCATCAAAGAATCCTATGAAAATGTACAGTATCACGGTTTCCACAAAAATATGAAGCTGTTTTCAACATTGATAATAATTAGGGATGCACCGATATGAAAATTTTGGTAATAATAATCAGAAATGTTTCTTGAACAGCATATTAGAATGATTTGTGAAGGATCATGTGACACTGAAGACTGGAGTAATGATGCTGAAAATACAGCTTTGATCACAGAAATAAATTACATTTGAACATATATTCACATAGAAAACAATTCTTATTAAATTGTAATAATATTTCACAATATTCCATTTTTTTCTGTATTTTTGATCTAATAAATGCAGCCATGGTGAGCAGAAAAGACTTCTGCTAAACATCTCATTTTGGGCTTCACAGAAAAAAACTAAGGTTGGGAATCACATGAAAGCAAGTCAATTATGGGAAAATTTTCATTTTTGAGTGAACTATTTAATATATATATATATATATATATAAAGCAAGTCTATTATGGGAAAATTTTCATTTTTGAGTGTAATATATAATATATATATATATATATATATATATATATATATATATATATATATATATATATATAAATAAGTGTATGACGAGGCAAGAGACAGAGAAAAAACATTGAAGATTTGGAAGCACTTTGGCCCTCAGGAGGGCGATACAGTGACACTCACCACAACAGCCCCATTGTCCTGGCCGATGAAGATCCGCCTGCTCTCATGGTGATATGACACACAGGAGCACGGAGCTGGACACAAACACAAAGACTTGAACTACTTCATCACAGATTTCTGCAGCACAAAGGTGAAGTGTGTCAATCTGTGCTACTGACGGCAGCAAAAAAACCATCTGTGTCTAACTAGTGTTGTTATTGTTAACTACAAATAAAACTACTATTAAATGATTCACATTTAAATGATTAAAAATACAGATTTTTTCATTTTAGATGAAAAACTAAATTATTAAAAATATTTTTTTAAACATTAGATAAAAAAATCTTAAATGAAAATTAGAAATGTTGCCTTTTTAGTTTTAAAAACTAAAAATGAATAACTGCAACTATTTTTTTTCTTTATTTGAAATAGTGCTAAAATATAAATATTGGCTGAAAAACAAACTTCACTAAAAATTAAACATTCGAAAAAATGCCTTTTAGTTTTAAAAACTAACACCTAATTTTTTTTTTTAAATCTTTCTTTTAGTTTAATATAAAAATAACAAATATTAGATGAAAAACGTAAATGAAAATTAGAAATGTTGCCCACACAACTAACTGAAATAAGTAAGTTGAAATTGAATTACTACAATTACTAAAGCTGAAATAAAAATAAGTTTAAAAAAGCAACTAATACTAATTAGTTGTTATTGCAACTAATAAAAATGACAAAAATTCAAAAAATTAAATTATAACCGAAAATACTAAAACAAAAACGAATAAAAACAAAAACAAATAAATACTATTACATTGTATAAATAACAGTTTCAGAGCTATTTTTTTCAACACTCCTCATTTTCTCAATTTATTACTCTCAAACACAGCTCCAGTTGGAATTTGACATGACAAGCTGCTCAAACAAAAAGAGCAACGGCATATTAAAAATGTACACTTACTGATGACACCAGGGAATATATGCGAGATATGAAGAGGTGATATGGTTGCTATGGTAACAGAGTTACCATAGCGACCATACATCTGCACGTGAACACTGTGTGGTAAGAATGAATTATTTTTATTTTGGTTAATTTACTTGCTGCAACTGGTAACATTCACCATGTCATGCACGTCAAACCTGCTCTCGCTATATTTGAGATGAAAAACTATGTGATTTTCATTTTTTCGGGGAAATGATACTCACAGGACACCGTGTGGTAGATGCTGGGCCAGTACTGTCCACTGTCCCGCTTCAGCCAAACTCGAATCGTCCTGAAAGAAAAAAAAAAGTTATAAAACATACAACATGCAAATCAATACAAATATATAATAATTTTTCATATTATATGAAATACATAGAATTTAATATAATATAATAAATAAAAACAGAATAAAATATATGAAAAATATAAAAAATAATGATTCATAAAAATACAATAAAAAACATTAATATAATATAAAAAATATAATAATATAAAAAAATAACCCTTTGAAGTGTTATGGTCATGCACAGAAACACACGTCAACAGATTTTTTTTTTAATTAAATGTAAGATATTATATGAAATACAGATATAAAAATAACGTTATATTAAAATACAAATAAAAAATAACTAACATAATATAAAAAAACTAATGAAAATAACCCTCTGAAGTGTGACGGTCATGCACAGAAACACACGTGTCCCCAGAGCAGCTGAAATCTCAATTCCTTCAGTTTCAGTTCCTGCTAAAATCTCAAGCGTATCATATTTTGCAAAGTTTGTGCATCTGCTCTCATTAAGCACACCACCCCATATGCATCTCCACTAACACGGTCTTGTCTTGTCCAGAGTTGTTAAAAACGCCTCATCAGTCAGCAGTCTTGCCAAAACCAGAATGTTTCAAATGTAAACAACATTTAGATGCCAAAAAATCCCATCCTTAGAAGCAAAGCCTGTTCATTTACATACACTAACTATACGAATGATTCTGACAGCACAAATAAGATCTGATCTTTAAACTGCTCTGGAAAGAAACTCTCTCTTTACCAAAATATCTCCTTTAGATCTGCTTCTCAAACTAATTGAACTCCTGCTAATCTTTAAGCTGCACTTAATGGCCGTCTGAGTTCGATTCTCCTGTTTAGCATTTAAAAAGATGTTTAAATCCTATCTTGAATGGAAGTCACTCTTTTGAAACATTGAGACGAGTCCGTTGAAATGCATGGCGACATCAGACGTGATCTCAAGCCTTGCAGAAACAAAGCAAACACTTGTGTGTTCATCCTGAGAGGAACTTAAAGGGGTCATATGATGTCGATAAAAAGAATATTGTTTTGTGTAAAGAAATGTTTATGAGGTTTAAGGCTCAAAAAACACATTATTTTCCACATACTGTACATTATTGTTTCTCCTCTATGCCCCGCCTTTCTGAAACGGAAATGTTACACCCCTCACCATACTGTGATGAGCGATGATTCAAAAACATTAAAACCCATTATAAACGAGGCATTCATTGCATCCAGTGGGGACATAATTACGGATTATAATGACTTATACTGTCTTTTTA